GGTGAGCTTCTGCTTCTGAGGTGAGTTTCTGCTCTTGAGTTTCTGCTCTTTTTAGGGGAAATATTCTGCCTTTTTAATATTTCCTAGAATATTTCGATTTTCTAGGAGAGGTGCGGGTGCCCACTTCCTACAACATGAAAAACCCCAGATCTCCAATCTTGTGTAATCAGCCCCCTTAAAGAAGGGAGGGAAATTCCTTTTTTCTGATTCATTCCCAGCAAAAAGAAAGTCAGACAAACTCTAGGAAAGGCCCTGCCGAATGATATAACAATATTTCTGCCTGAACATGCCTGGGCGCTTTCCTTTCCATTGTTTTCTTCTGGTCTACAAAGAATCTGATGATAACCGGTGCCTATTTGCGTGCAGCGCGACTGCGGTTTAACTTGCATCCTGGGTAGAATTGATTCTTTGTTCCTTCCCTAAGAGATTGACACTGCAAAGTTTGGGAAAGGAACAGAAGAAAGGGAGGGGGGAAAAAACAGGATAAAACAAAGGTTGCAGGAAGGTAAGGGTGCCAAGTCCATCTCATGAATAGCCTCCCATATTACACTAAAGCTGCGGTTTCGTTGAATCGGCTCTGGAGCATGTCAGAGACATACGGTTGACATAAGATCAAACCAAGCCATATGTCCTTTTGACATGAGGACTTGAACTCCCACGTGTGATTTCCCAAGTCCTCAGCTCAATCCTAAATAGATTGAGGTGGTATATTTTGAAATCATCCAGTCTATTTGGCGCTGGGGAGAAAGAGGTTTAAATCTGGGACTTTCACCATGAAATGTTTAATGTGTTGCTCCATACCGATTGCTCTCAGCTGACACAATTAGTGAGTAAATGACAAGGTTTAAAACCAGCTTGGAAACCCCCCCACGAACCCAAAAACCCTGCCCGAAACAGATGAAAAAATGTGTCCTCTTTTCTCCTGTCTTCTCGTTCACTTTCTCTGTAGCTCACGAAATGCTGTCTTGTCTGCAGAGGGGAAAAGACTGGAACCATTAATATGCACCTAATACTAATTTTTCCTCCCAGCTAATTCATTATTTGAAAAGCACATTTTTATTACCTGGCTAATAGGGTCTGACATTGTTCGACTCTACCCTGCTCAAGGAAAATTACACAGATCAAAATCTTTATTTAACTTCTTGAAAAGTCAAACAACTCCAGAGCAAACTCTCCCAGATGAGGGTTCTTGAGATGTTGAAATCTCTGGCAGTTGTTTTTAGGACACTGAGACCTTGTGTTTATGGTGGGCGGGGGTTGGGGTGGGGATTATGTTTTTAATGTATTTGATGTGGTTTTTCATTCCTTCTTGAGGGGAATTTACGCATTTTACAGAGGTGACATTTTGGTTTTCAGCATTTTAGGACCTGGAAAATTAAGTCTTCATTTTTTTCCCCCTCTCCCATTATTATTACTATTACATTGTTATGGTAGCTACGATTGCACCAAATTTACAGGTTACTGACTTGCATTGTAAAAGGCAAAGCCTTTGCTGTGTGATGCAGAATTTCTTGTATCTGATAAATTGATGAATGGAAACTAGAAATAAACTGCCAGGAGCTTCTTTGTTACCATTTCTTAGAAAAGGAATGGATTTGTTAAAAGGATGAATCATACTTTCCAAAGCCCGGCATCTACCAGATGTCTAAATCTACGACTCCATCAGTTATAATCTTCTGAGTAGATAATCTGACCACATCTGGAGCAGGCCAGCTTGAGAGATGTTGATCTAGACCAGTGTCAACTGTGGCAACTTTTAAGAGATGTGAACTTCAACTCCCAGAATGCATACTGGCCTGGATAGCTATGTACATATAGCACAATAGGTACTTTATTAGTAGCAACACAGTGTACGTTATTGAACGAGGCAATTGTTTCCGTCTAAAATGGCAGCCGATGAGTTCCAGCAAGCTGCCTTCCATCCGGTTCTTGTCCGGGTTTGCTCATTTCAGCAAGGGGGAGCTTGTTTTCCCAAGTTCTCATCTTCTCCAACCCTAATTGAGAACCTTTGGTGACAGAATGTCGACATCCTGGCCCAATTATTCGTAATTTGGAGTGCCGAGCAAAGCCCCAATATTCTCGCTTAATCAAACAGCGCCATCTCTCTGACCTAATTAACTGAGGCTCCCGTGTTTTCTTTGAAGCACCAGGAGATAGGCCATGCCTCCATGACACATCTCAACGTAGCCCATGTCCTTATCTCCTTCTCAGAAGGAGGAGGAGAGGGAAAAGAAGAAGAAAGATGAAGAAGAAAGGAGGAGAAGGAGGAGGAAAACAAGAAGAAAGGAAGAGGAGAAAGGAGAGGAGGAGGAGGAGGAGAAAAAGGGAGGAGAAGGAGAAGAATAATTCTATGAATTATTCTTTAATGGAAGCTTTAATGACCCGTATGTTAAGGAGGAAAGCCCACTCCAGACTTCAGGCCGGGGGCGCTGCTAAATTAGCAAAGGCAGCTTTATGGACAGAGCTTAGAATGGCCTAGATTAGTTCTCTGCAAATACAATTCACAACTGAACTGAATGTTATCAAATGGAATTTCCCTGCCCCATTTTTTCCAACACCATGAATGATTTTTGTTTCCAGAGTGAAGGTCCCACCCTTGTCCTCTTACCTCCTTTGAAGATAGCTAAACTCTCTCTTTCAGATGTATTCGTAATGGCAGGGCATTACTCACAATTCCCATCTTCCACGTATTGGAGCCTTTTCTTTATTTCATTTTTTCCCCCAGTAAGTTTTCAGAACCTTTCGGTTTTGTACTCCAATAAAAACACTGCATGTGTAGTCCTGGATTTGTGACATTTGTTTAACAACCGTTTGAAGTTATGACCGCATTAGAAAAAGCAACTTATGACTGGCTCTCTCACACTTACATCTATCACAACAGTTCCATGGTTACACAATCAAAATTTGGGAGCTCTGGCAACCTGCACGCATTTATGATGGTTGCAGCACCCTGGAGGGAGGGGGGGGGGTTCACGTGATTTACAACAAAAAAAGGGTCATACAATTAGGTGCCACTCAATAACTGCATCACTTCATGACTGAAGTTTCATTCCCAATGGCGGTTGTAAGTTGAGGGTGATCGTCCTTTTGAGATCGACAAGATGGATTTTGAATTTTTTTAATTGTAAATTTCAATCATTCCTTTCCAGAGGTCTTGGCCATTGTCCAAATTTTATAGAAAGGCATTTCGATAGAGAATATCCGTCACTCAGGTTTGGACTGTGGAGTCCTCAGGTTTTTCCGTGCTCGGTTGTTTGCTGGCAGATTTTTCATTCCTTGATTAGGTAACGCCATCGATGCAAGTGAGTGGTTTGCTCCCTGTTTATATTATGCAGCAGCTTGCCCTGCTGGAGTTGGTGTGGTTTTTTCTTTAGTACTGCAGTTCCTTAATTAGAGCATAGTTTTTTTGCTTCTTTATTTGTCTGGTGTCAATCCCTGCTTATCCGGCTGTTGGTTGCCAGAGATTGTGCATTACCAATAAAGGAGAATATCTGTAGCTCAGAGTTGAAATGAGGGGTCATTTGAGCTTTCTGAGCTTGTTTTCTTCCATGACCCATCTAGGTAACACCATCCGTGTTGGAAGAAAGTGGGGTGCATGGAGAGGAGGAGGAGGAAGAGGACTGTGGGATCTTTGGTGTTCTCTGAGCTTGCTTGTTTCCTGGTAGACCAGGGGTGGTATTCTACCGGTTCGGCCCAATTCTGCTGAGATGCTAGTGGTGATGAACAACGGAGACCAGTTCTTCGTGCCGCTCTGCTGTTGGGCCTACCTGTCCACCCGGGCTTCCATACTCACTTTTATCCTCTGCTTTTGAAGCACAGCTGCTTTGCACGGCATAGGAGAGTGCCACGCCACAGCTGCTGAAGCGACTGGGAGACTGCGGGCTTGCAGGAGACGAGTTGGAACACCTCTACGCCTGTGCAAAGTGTGCCTTCGGCACATGCACACACGCAAAAGTGCGCCCACCAAGCCACACCCACCGAACCAGTGGTAAAACTTTTTGAATCCCACCACTGTGGTAGACGTTTCCTGACCCAAACTAGGCAACGTCATCAGTGAGAGAGAGAGAGTCCGCGTCCCAGGCCTTCAACAAGGAGCAAGCCCTGACAAGCTTTACCTAGGCAAGTAACGAAACCTCTTCCAGCAAACCCAGATGCTCGGAAAGCCACCAGCTAGAGGGAGTTCTCGACTTGCGGCCACAAGTCGAACCCCACATTTCTGTTGTCGAGTGAGACAATCTTATTGAGCTTCGCTCCATTTTACAAACCTTTCTTGCCTCAGTTGTTAAGTGAATCGCTGCAGCTGATAAGTTAGTACGTGAATGTGGCTTGTGCCACCGTCACAAAGACCAGTCGATTGCCAAGAGGCTGAATTTTGACGATGTCACCACGGGGGGATGGTACAACGGTCGTAACTGTAAAAAACAGTCCTAAGTCATCGAGCATCATACAGTAGAATAACAAGAGTTGGAAGGGACTTTGGAGGTCATCTAGTCCAACCCCCTGTTCGAGCAGGAGAGTCTACTCCAAATATTAGCCTCTTATCTAGGATCGAACTCACAGGCTCCTGATTGTGAGGCAAGAGCTCCACCTCTAGACTACCGCCGTTAAGACGTGGAAACAGTCACTAAACGAACCCGTTACCAAACCAGGGACTACTTGTTCTTCTGGCCAAAGAGACTACGACCCCTAGAATCTTAGCACAGGCGCCCAGGTGAAGCGCACCTCAGCCACGGGAGGGAGGCAGTGGGCGTGTCCTCCAAGCACCGCCCATTCCACGCAGGAACCGCCCCCCCCTTCTGCTCGGCTGCCTGAAGCGACGGTCGGGGAGAGAAAGGTGGGCGTGTCCTCCGAGCGCCGCCCCTTCCGCCCGCGCTCAGGGGTTGCCTGTGGCGACGGTCTCTTGCGGGAGAGGGGAGAGAGTGGGCGTGTCCTCCAAGCGCCGCCCCCTCGCGCAGGCGCCGCCCCCTCCTTCCCGCCCGCGTGCGCGCCCGCTCCGCGGCGGCAGAGGCTGCCTGAGGCGACGGTCGCCGGGGTCGGTCGGTGGGAAGCGGGCGATGCGGCGATCCGGGTCGGCTCGGGCGTCGTCGTCGTCGTCGTCGTTGGGGGCCCCGCTGCTGGCCGCCCTGCTGGGGCTTCTGACGCTGGGGCCCCTCGGCCTCGGCCCGCGTCCGGCGGGCGCCCAGTCGGTGTGGACGGCTTGGCTGAACGTGTCGTGGCGGCTGCCGGGCAGCAACGTGTCGGCGTGGAACGCGGACGAAGGCGGCCTCTTCGGGCAGGACTCGCCGGTGCGGCCGGCCGCCGGGCTGGTGGTGGCCCCGGACGCCCGCGAGGGGCTGAACGCCTGCAGCCCGCGGAGCAACTTCTCCGGGGCGCCCGCGCACCAGCCCTGGGTGGCCCTGGTGCAGCGCGGCGGGGGCTGCATGTTCAGCGTCAAGATCAACGCCGCCGCCCGGCTCCGAGCCCAGGCCGTGGCCGTCTTCAACTACGACGGCGCCGCCGGGCCCGAGGTGCAGACCATGACCCACCCGGGTGAGTGGCGCCCCGATGGGCCCCGCTGGGGAGGATGGGCCTGGGGACTCCGGGGGTATCTGGGAGGGGGGAGAGTTGAAGAAGAGCCCAGATCCACCTTGTCTTTCCTGCTGGGGAGGATGGGGCTTGGACTTTGGGGATGAGTCGGTAGGGGGCTCTCCCCTTGGACCCGCTGGGGAGGATGGGGCTTGGGACTCTAGGGATAATTGGAGGGGTCAGGTAGGTCTCAGATCCACCTTTTGCCTTCCTCGTCCTTATCTCTCCTTTCCTGCCGGGGAGGATGGGGCTTTGGGGAGGGGGGAGCCAGTGGGGGGCTCTCCCCTTGGCCCCGCTGGGGAGGATGGGGCGGGGGACTCCAAGGGATAATGGGAGGGGGGGCGGGAAGGTCTAAGATCCATCTTTGCCTTGCTCATCCCAGACTGAGGCTTTCCCTGCTGGGGATGATGGGGCTTTGGGGTGGGCGTGGTCTTTCTCTTTCTCCCCGAAGGCCCTTGGCATCGCCTTGGCCCCGCTGGGGAGGATGGGGCTTGGGACTCCACGGGTACTGAGAGGGTAATGGGAGGGGAGCCAGGAAAGTCATGGCTCCACCGTTTTTCCTTGCTCGTCCTTATCCGTTTTTTTCCTGTTGGGGATGATGGGGCTTGAGGTTTTGGGGGACAGTCGTTGGGGTCTCTCTGTCCCCAACCCCGAAGGGGCTTCTTCCCAAAGCTCCTCAGCTTCACCTTGGCCCCATTCATCCTTATCTGTCCTGCTGGGGATGATGGGGTTGCGGGAGCTGGGGGGGGAATGTCTTTCTCCGAAGCCCCTCGGCTTCACCTTGGCCTCGCTGGGGATGATGGGGCTTGGAGCACACAGCGGATGGGTTGCCTTCTTCCCTGGCGCTGAGGGTTTTTCCTCTTTTTGAAGCCTCTCAGGTCCACCTTTGTCCTGCTCATCCCTGACTGGGAGGCTTTTTGCTGGGAATGATGGGGTTTGGGACTCCGGGATGACCATGGGGGGCTCTTGGAGGGCATCTAGGAGGCTTTAGAAGGCCAGGGCGGAAGACTTGGACACATCAGGAACGCAGGCATGGTGTGACTTGAGTTCCTTGCGGTCTTTTTGTTTAAATGTACATTTATTAAAAGTTCCTTCCTCCTCCCATAAGATAAAAGACACAAACTAAAGAAATGGCAAGAAAATAAAAAGAAACTAAAGATTATATAAGTGACGTCCAATTTTCTTCCCAAAGATCTCACTGTCTTTCCTTCCTCTTAGATTTTTATACAAATAATACAATCCCCCTCTCATCCATTTCTGTTTTAATCTTCAGATCCATAAATCATCATATTCTTTCTTTGTTCTTTCAGCAAAAAAGTCCACAATGTTTCCAGTCTTTCAAAAAAAAAGAATATTTTTTTTTTTTGGTGTTTGATCTTTGACTATACAGAACAGTTTTGTCATTTGCAAATTCTTTCAATTTTCACTATGGGTTCCCCCCACTGTGAGGACTTTCCATACCCTCCTTCCTTCCTTCCTTCCTCTTCTTTCTTCTTCCCTTCTTTCCCTTCTTCTCCTTCCCTAACTTCTACCTTCTTCCCCTCCTCCGATACCTTTATTTTTTTCCCCTAACCAAACAACCCAAAAAGGAAACTTTTTTTTTTTTAAAGGCTATAAACCCAGAAGGACAAGAATCCATAGCCCCGATTTAACCACGGATTCTCTACTATCCTCAGCAAGATTGTTAAAAATATCCCAGAATCTCGGCTCCTTGTGGCTTTTTTGTATATTTCCACCCAAGTTCTTCAGGGAGAGGTGGGGTAGGGGGCTTAGGGGCCTGTCTGTTCTGGATCTCCCCATTGGATGACATCATAATTCACATTCTAGGCTTTCTCTTCCATAGTGGGGATGGGCAAAGGTGTGGTTAGATCACAGAGAGCCTTCTTTGCTGATCCACAGGTATTTGGACTTAAGAGGAATCCAGCACGTTTAAAAGACATCTTCAGTTCCTACCAAAGCAGACGTTAGTACAAATAGCTTGGAGGCCTTTTGCCCGATGATTGATTCTGATGACAAGTTTTCAAAACAATCACTGTCTCTCTTCACAATACCAACCTGCACCTTCTGAGCAATACAGCCTCCTCTAATCTCTCTCGTCTATCCCGGTGACTCTAGTCCTGAGCATTTAGACCGGAGGCTCTTCCAACTTGGCAAGTTTAAGACTTGTGGACTTCCAACTCCCAGAATTCCTCCTCCTCCAGTCATGTTAGCTCAGGAATTCTGGGAGTTGGAAGTCCACAAGTCTTAAACTTGCCAAGTTGGAAGACTCTTGATTTAGACAAATGGCCCTGCCATAATGTTTAGGCTGAAAGACTGTGAAGTTACCTTCAACAGGTCACCTGGGATTGCCAAAATTGTCCTTCCAGGCAGTTTATGAGAGAAGCTAGTAGCATGGATTGTAAAAACTGGGATTGCTTTCTCTTCACTTCTTTGAACATTTGATTAGTTAACTTGACAGGTAGTCTAGTTTTTTGTGTTTTATTTTAAAGGGTGTTGCTTTATGTTCTGTGCAGATGAATGACCTTGGAAGCCAGTGAAGCAACGACTCGGGAAAGTTTTAATTTTTCTGCTTTCGTGAATCTTCGAGACTGTTAAGGTCTTCAGAATCTGGAGAATTTTAAAAGCCGCCTTGACTTGCAGTAACAAGACAAAAGGCTATTGTGCCTTTTAAGCAGGTCTAGGCTTAACGAGTTTGGGGACCAGTCAAAAATCTGCAAGACCCTTAATGCAGATAATTTTCTGGAATGCACTTCAATGGCAGGGGCTTTTTATGAGGCTGATGGCGTCCCCGAGAATTTTCTGGCTACCTAAAACATAGTTTGCGGGTCTCTTCGTTGAAGGACATGATAAAATAGGGGTATTTATGGGGTATTTATGATAAAACACCATTGCATGATGTTTTACTGCATTGCATGATCTCAAGGGTTTTTTTAATTGCCTGTTTTAAACTGCATTTGGGCACTGCTGCTTGCTTCGATGCTGTGGATGTGAATGAAAGCAATGCATGAATAATTTCCAAGCTGAGAATTTTAGGAACAGGAGGAGTAATTAAGTAATGCTTGTCTTTGGGTAATAGGAGTTTCCCTTTGGGAGAAAGAATGCTTGCTCTTCCTTCTCCTCTGTGCACATCTCTTGGCTATGAACAAAAGTACTCTTCCTTGCGTAGATGCTTTCTTCCTTCGGGAATTCAGAAACACAAAACATTTGGTTTGGTTTGCAAGTTAAGGATCGAGGACCTGAAGGTGAAGATTAAATGCACAGAGCTGATGGATGCAGCATGTTGATCATACAATGCAGGACCCAGCTTGCAATAAAATATTTCAAATAATATATCATTGCATGGACCATAGTACAATATATGATTTCAAATATTTCATGCCACTCTTCCGTACAAAGGATGTTTTGCAGTAAGGGCAGCCCATTAAAAAAACCCAAGTTTATGGGAGGCTAATAATTAACGTTTTCTCTCCATTGTACCACAGTAAGTCCTTCAATAAGAAAGATGTTGCCAATAAGGAAGCCAGGTTGCTCTGGGCAATGCAGCAAGCATACCCTGTATAGCACAAGGAAAGTTAATTTTATGCTTTAGTAACCCCTGCATGGCTTTCAGCCACGACTGTATTGCTATGACAGGGAAAGGTAGCTGACAGGAAGTAAATTAGGTCTAAAAAGTCACCTTAACCCTGCACAGCTTGTGTGCAGGTCTGAAGGACTGAACGCAGTTGAGGATGTTTGGGGGAAGCCTGTACAAAATGGACCAATAACTATTTACGTAATTATCAGATTTTAATTGGAAGCAGGCCAATAATGACAGCAGGGTGGATAAAAATCGATTCCGTAAAAAAATTAAATTTAAAAGATGGTTTTTTATTTAAATTGGGTTTTTTAAATTTTTTTTATCAAATTTATTTTAATAAAATGCTTTTGGAGTAAAAGTCTATCTAAAGATAGTTCTGTGTTTAAGATACGTTAATGATTTAGTTTATTCAGCATGAAATGGAGCTTAGCTATACAGTAGCACGAGGCTGTATATTTTGCAATGTTTACAATTTTTGGTATTCAATGAATCCAAGCTCTGCAAGCTGAGATAACATGCCCTGCGTTGAGACATTCACACAATTTCAGAGCAGAGATGACAGTTGCTCTTTAAAGATTTAAGACTGAAACCGAGTTGATTTAAATCAAGCCTTTTTACTAGTGATTTAAATCATGATTGAAATCGATGTGATTTAAATCAAATCCAACCTGAATGACAGAGAAGCTTGGAGAGGGCTTGGCGTTCTCTGAGCTTGGCTGTTTTCTTGCAGACATTTCATGAACCAAACTAGGTAACATCATCAGTGTTAGTAAGGAATGGGGCCCTCACTAACACGGACAGGGCAAACCCCTAGAATATAAACTGAGAGCAAACTGCTTATTAGCACTGATGACATTACCTAGTTGGGTCATGAAACGTCTGCAAGATAACATGCCAAGCTCAGAGAGCCCCAAGCACCCCTCGTTTCAACCCTGAGCTACAAATATTCTCCTTTATTGCCGAGAGAAATTTCTTTTTCCACAAACCAGCTTGCCAACTGCAACGCGCTGGGTGTTTTCTGTGTGCAACCCAGATTGACGCAGGGCAGCAATGACCACAAACAGGACTAGTTAGTCTGGCCTTGTCGGAGTCAGTGATGCAACCTTGCATTTCTGTTCTGTTCTCAGCCTGCTGAATTCCCTGGGATCCAGTTAGAGGCCAGTTCACTTGAAATGGCAGGGGAAAAAAATTGCTGGTGTGAACACAGAGGACTTGACTCATATTACATGTTCGGTCCGTGTTCTATATACCCATCCCTGATTCTGACTAGTTGGCTCTTGTTTTGCAAGTTACGGTTCTAACAATTTTGTTTCGTTTCCTGCATTTCTTGCTCTTTGTCCCAAGATCCGTGGCAGGCACACACTTTGATTTCTTTCGTCAGTGTCTG